CGCGCTTTGCTTTAGTTATGTTATAATATTTGATAGTTGTTCGGTACCCTGGGAACGAGCAATGAGATTTTGAACGAGAAGGACTTGGCACCAGTGTTGTCAACAAAGATGGCGGCGAGGGAAGGGAAAGAGATTGCATTTTCTGAAATTAAGAATAAACTAAGAAGGAGCACGCTGTATCAGAAAGAGAAGCTAAGGAAGGCAAAAGAAAAGAGAGAAAGGAAACGGAAAAGGAAACGGGAAGAGTCCCAAGAGGAAGGAGAGGTAAGTCACGAAGTTTCTGACTTTTTTACATGTAAACAAATTCTGCCACACTTGTAGGCACGTGTTTGATTTTGAAACTTGTGGCGTTTATTCGAGGATGGCATTTATTAATATTTCTGCTTTAGAATGCGGCGTTTATTCGAGGGCAGCGTTTAACTGAATAAATATGGTAACTAAAGTAGGCAGCATACAACGGGCGGTTTAAGGTTTTCTTGCAAAGCAAGTATTGCAATCATCATTATTGTCGTCCTTCTAACACGTCAGGGGGATGTGTGAGGCCGTTCGCCAAATCTTTCCACCTTGCACGGTCTTTCACCACATTTTCAATCTATGTACACGAGGTAAAGCGAAGTCTCTACCATTCACTCTCAACCGTTCAATGCTATTATTGTAGGTTGTCTTGGGGTCTACAGTACCACTTCTTCTACCTTCAGGGCTCCACATTAAAGACACCTTAACATTGTTGATATTCCCAAGCCTTACAACATGGCCTAACCATCTCCAGCACCTATCTGTTATCATTTCAGGAAAAGGCATCATCTCATCATTCTTGTATAGATCTTTGTTGGACAGGAAATGTTGCAATGCCACACAGAAGCATATTAGGAAACTAATAGGCAGATGAAGCAAATAACTAGTACTAAGGAAAACAGTTTTTCGAGGTCCTGCAAAAGTCACTTTTAATAATATTAATGTTAATAACCTAACAGTGTTCCTTGTGTTTTACTGACAGCCTCAGCCGAAGCAAATTCCAAGAACTATTGACAATACTCGTGTTGTTGATGACACCATTGTGGAGCCACAAGATGATGAGGTAAGGTAACAAGATGCAGTACACATTTTAGAGGGCTTTTAAAGGAAAATTTGCTTAAAAACAGTTTAAGCTCAAAGGGATACTTAATGGTTCTTTATAGGGTTGCTGCCATGTTTACTTTATGGTAATTTGTGATGTCATTGCACTGTTACATCATTCTATAAATTCATGCAGTGCTGTTCTTTGAAAATGCCCAACTGAGCAGTGATGTGTTATTATTTGTAAGCTTTGTTAAAATAGACATGGCACATATGGGAAGGGTTGGCATATGGCCCTTCAAAAACTATTGTCTCACAAAATGTTTGTCGAATTTCGTGGGGCTTCGCAGTCTCAAGTTATTGCAAGGCTAAGAAAGTCTTGAATTATTGTTGTTGTTGTGTTTTTTTTCATAAATGACATCTGAACGTCTTAAAGCCTGAACGTCTTGAGTTCACATTTAAAACACTTTGAAGTCTTGGTTTTGCTATTGAAGAAGTAAAAAATGTCTCAGGTTGGCAAAGAAAAACGCTTGTCTTGCCTTCTCACAAAGTCTCGCATTTACCATTCACCACCCCTCAAGGATTTGATATCCTAAATAATAATATACTTTGCTGATGAACAGGTGATACATGACAAAGAAAGTGATGAGCTAGCAACATACTTCAGATGCGAGGTGGTACCAAAGGTTCTTATAACCTCAAGTGACAGATCAAAAGTGGTAAGTTGACCGAAAGGAGTGGCTATTGAAAATTGGTATGGATAATCAAATGGTGACGAGTGAAATTTAGAAATAATTAGATGTGTGTGTTGTCAAAATTATAATTATTTTCTAAGCCTTTACAATTTTGATAAACTGAAAGTAAGATTATTTCTCAATTTAAGGAGTGTACCATTTGATATGATGGGTAACAAATGACTTATATTTTGACTTATTTATTGTATCGAGAAGTTTCGCACCAAACATTTCCATGGCAATGTTGTAATTTCACAAGTAAAATTATAAATTAATGCGGAAATTTTGTGCCAAAATTAAGGCGTAATTTGTCACTTGTGATGTTATGAGAACAATAATTATTATAGGTAATAATGTGGTAGCAAGTGGAATTAGAAGTGATTTCCCATACATAATTTGTCAAGATTTCTTCCTTCTTCACTTGTTACAGTGAAAATGAGGTCACTAAGACAACACTAACAAGTCACAATTTTTTTTCTATACGTTTATGTACATTACTTTACTCTCCAATCATTTCTTACCTAGTAGCAGAGCTTTTCAGAGGAGAGCACCTCAGATACTGCTGTAGGTAAATGAGGTTTGTTACTCCTGACACTGACACATTAGGTTCAGTTTGTGATCTTTTGCAATCCTGCTTAATCTCCCTTTTGAGTTAATTAGATCACCTCCTTGGTGTTTCCCACCTTACCTGTATAACGATCTCATCATGTCATAAGGCACATAAAGCTTTGACACTCTCCTTCCATCCACTTTGATTTGCTGCTAGAGCTCTGACAGTCACTCATGACTGTCACCCAACTTCATGCCTTTCTTCTGCGACTGTTCTCCTCCATGTTGTTTTGGATGATCTGGTCTTGTCCTCTCCTCTGGCCCGCACTTCAATGCTGTAACACAGTGCTCCTCTCTGACCTTGCATCCATCCACTTTGATTTGCTGCTAGAGCTCTGACAGTCGCTCGTGACAGCTACCCAACTGCATGCCTTTCTTCCTTGACTGTTCTCCTCTATGTTGTTTTGGGATGTCTTGATCTTGTCCTCCCCTCTGGCCTCCACTCTAATTCTGTAAAACAGTGCTCCTCTCTGACCTTCCTCATTATATGTCCAAACCAATTCCATCTGTAATGTTAACCCTAGAATAAACTTTCAGGGTTCATTTCAGTAAATTATCAAAAACGCAAGAGAGTGTCTTGGGACATTTCCATACACTGAGAAGAAAGTTTAAAAACTGACATACTTTGGAGTATTTTATATTTTTGTTGAACTTTGAGGTGTTTGGAACTTAATGAATCACTGTCTAGGGTGTTTCAATCAAAACTAAACAAGGGAGAAAATATAATTATTGCTCATTTTGCAAGTACTTATTTATTGTATGTACATATTTAATTACTGTAGTTATTATTTATAATTGTTTGTTGTCATTTATTTTATTGTCTTATTGTTATCATTAGAAAACAGTTCAGTTCATGGAAGAGCTCAGAAGAATTATCCCTAATTCTGAAGTCCGTGTACGTAAAGGTCTGGATTTGAAGAAAATAATTCCTCAAGCAAAAGAGAAAGGATTTACAGCTCTTTTAGTTGTCAATGAAGACAGGAAATTACCGAGTATCCTTTTGGTCTTTGGAACAAAGTTTTTGTTTGTTTAATTTAACTCCTTGATCGTGCTCAAAAAATAATAACCAACTGGTCTACCTCTTGCCAGTGGGAATTTTAACCTTGATATGAAGTACATTGTGTATTTGTCTAATATTTTAGTAACAATTTATTTTATCTTATTGAATACATTGTACTAATGGGCAAAGAGAGGCACTATAAAATAATCTCCCTTTTTTTCCATGTACTTAAAGGATGTGGAACAAATTACCACAAGGCATTATTAAAAATAGTTCTTTGGAGACATTTAAGACTAAGATTTCAAGGTATTTTACGGATTAATTTATGTATTTTAGTTATTTCCCCTATTTTATTTACTTCATATTTATTCTGTCCAAGTAGCTACAGTCAAACCTTGATTATCTGGACTCGTTGGGACTAGACAAAATAGTCTGGATAATCGAGGGTCTGGATAATCGAAAATATCAACGTTAATGAAGAACAAAACTGCTTAAATAAAGCAACATAATTAATCGTGAAACAGCACTTTTACAAATCGTTTGGAAAACAATACGGTCTACTGTACATCTGAGCCAATCAAAACTCATTCGAGTGTTCTTCAGTAGTTACGAGCCGTGCGGCACTGCTTTTGCTCTTCAAAAGCAAAACAAACTCGCTTTTGACTGCACTTTTCAATGCTATAGTTTTTGAAAGAATATTGCTACGGATCTTGATCGTGACTAATAAATATTCATGACAAAATTGGGACTAGAGAAAAAGTGCAGATAATCAAGAAATTCGCATGATCGAGGTACAGATAATCGAGGTTTGACTGTATAGATATATTTTTATTGTTCTTAATCAACCTTTTGTACAATTTTTAACGTTGGTGTTATGTCTAACAACTTTACCAATGAAATCAAATGTAGATTTAGATGTAGACCGTTATGTTTTTGAGCATGGGGAAGGGGGGTGGAGGCGGGGGGTGGTTTGGGAATTTCCAAAAGAAAATTCCTGCACACAGCAGAAACTGCTGAAAATAAAAAATCATGCAAGGGGAGCCATGGAAACAAAAAAAATCAAGCAAGTGCTTTTTGCTATTTAGGTCCTGTGTTTTACTTTAAAAAAAAATTATTGCACATTTTATTGCCGACCAAAAATTTCATGCACAACCTATAGGTGAGAAAAAAAATTAATGCCCCCGAAAATTGCTCCAAACCCCCTCCCCCCTCCTCAAAAAATAATGGTCCGTCCCTAACACTTACATCTTACATGTAGCTAGGATTCAAACTTGGATCTCTTCATGATACCAGATCCAATGTACTGACTATTAAGCCACTGTGCTCTCTTACTGTGCTGCTAAAATAAAATTACTAACTGCTTATTAACTGAGAGTGAGGTCTTTACAGGAAAATCTTAGACCGAGACCTTGCGTATTGACTGAGTGATAGCGATTATCCCGTAAAGAACAAACGTTCAAGGTTAATAAGTTGTTTATTAAATGGCTTTTTGCTTTGTTTTTGCAAGCTTGTAACTGGCCCGTGGGCAATACAGGAGAATAATGCCCTACAATTAGCCAATCAGAGCACATGTTATATCGGCTACAAGAACAAGCTGTATAATAAATTAGAATACAGACTGGTGTTTCGTGTGTGATTCTCCTTAGCTAACTGTCTCTAGATGCCATGATTATAAGTCATTTACCAGATGGACCTACTGCACACTTCAAATTGAGCAGTGTTAAATTGGGCAAGGATATCAAGGTAATGCGGTGTCTTGTTATCATCCATCATCATGTTCAGTGTTTTCATTGGTTATCTTTCATCTCATATCCAACCGCACTCACGGAGTAGTTTCTTATGATCTCATGCCTGATACAAGCATTACACAAGTTTGCTGAATAATAATCAGGTTGATATTACCTTTTGTACTTTTGAATACAAATTGTTTGTAATGAATTCATCTGGGAAGAGCTGGATAATGAAAATGCCTACAGTACTGTGCAGAAAGAATGGAAACAAATTTTGGCGTTTGTCTCAATTTTTGGTAACTTTTCGATGAAATTTAACAAAATATTAAATGAAACGATATTTCTTACAAAGTTAAACAAATTTTCAAAAGGGCTCTTATTTTAATCAAAACAAAAATTGGGGCTGTACTTCCAAGACTGCGGGAACATTCAAGCAAAATATCGTTAAGAATAATGAACTTTTGGGAGAAACAGTTTGGGTTTCAGTACCTGCAGTAGCTTATCCTGGTTTGTGTGTTAGATTATGACTGGGAATATTTCTACTCCCCACTAGAGTGGACGCTACTTCATCGCAGGGTTACCTGCCAGCAGTAAATTCACCGGTATCCATTTATACACCTGGGTGGTGTCTTGCCCAAGAACACAACACAATGTCCCCAGCCAGGACACAAACTGGATCACTTCATTCACAATACACCTCCCTAACATGATGAGGTTACCTCCAACACTGAAGTGACGCTCACTAATACAGTGCATGTTTACATTTTCATTGCAGAACCATGGTCGTATGACAAGCCATAGGCCTGAAGTCATCCTGAATAACTTCAGTACAAGACTTGGTCATTCTGTTGCCCGCCTTCTGGCAGCCCTCTTTCCTCATGATCCACAGTTTCAAGGCAGACAGTGTGTCACATTTCATAATCAAAGGGATTTTATATTTTTTAGACGTCACAGGTAATGTGTATGTCTCTCCTATTGTATGCATGGTAAAATTATGAAGACAAGACTCTGCTTCAGTTTTGTATTTTCATGGAGTCTCAAGTTATTGGGGCCTTTTTCCAAGAGGGGGTATTGACTAGTTTACCTGTAGATGTAATTATTATCAGGGTGAAATTTTTGATGGAAAATAAAGTACATGTAAGCTTGTGGAGGCACAATGGCCTCATGTTTAGTGCGCTCACCTCCAGATTGAGGGGTCCAGGTTCAAGCCCTGGCCAGAGACATTGTGTTCTTAGGCAAGACACTTTATTCTGGCAGTGCTTCTCTCCAACCAGGTGTATAAATGAGCACCAGCAAACTTAATGCTGGGGGTAATCCTGCAATGGACTAGCATCACATTCAGTGCTGCTGAAACCGGGATAAGCACCGGCCTGATGGGCCACTTGGCTTCACCTATACAGAAGTCCAACTTTACATTTGAATCTTTTTCTGTTTGTCAGTGGCCAGTAATCGGTTTTGCATTTGTGAACTGTGAGTTCGTAAACTTAACTGATAGGTTTGCAGCATCTGTGGCCAAATAGTCAACTTAAAAGTGGCAGGATTCGATGCAATGTAAATATGTTGCAATGTAAACTTTGTAATGTACATCTACATGTGTAAGAAAATGTTATTTTAATCATGAAAAAAAATCAAAACCCAAGAAATACAGTAAATCAGAAAAAATTATTGTCATCTCTAAATTTTTTGTTTTTAATCCTTTCTTTGAAAGTACTTTACTGCTTACTTTAATATTAGTAAAGTGAAAATATCTCTTTCTCTTAATTTCTTACTAAATTAGTGTCTTTTTTGGTATTTCTACAGCCAAACCCCTATTAAGTGGCCACCCTCAGGGAAACAGGAGGTGGCCGCTTAATAGGGGTTGGTGTACTGTGAAGATTTTTTTTCACCATAAGGCTTAACTGCTTAGCGAACATGGAATCAAATCTAGGCAGTCATGATAAACATGTGTTTAGATGATTTCATTTGGCATTTGTTTCTATTTATGACTTATCTATCATCACCAGTGTTCCAAAACAAAGCCAAACTACATGTACATGTTTGTAATTTTGGGTGGCCATTTAATAGGTGTAAAGAAAACAGGAAAACCCTCATCGGTATGACCAAAAGGTGGCCACAGCCACTAAATAGAGGTGGCCAGTTAATAGGGGTTTTGTTTGCAGTATTTTACTGACGATGATTTCGGAGGATGGCTGGCTGCTTAATAAGGGGCGCAGTATAATTATTTGACAGTGGTACTGGTATTTCATTTTTTGTAGATATATTTTCAAGAATCAGAAGAAGGCTGGACTCCAGGAACTGGGACCTAGGTTTACTCTCAAACTCCGTTCTTTACAAAGAGGGTCTTTTGATTCCAAGTTCGGAGAATATGAGTGGGTTCACAAGGTTTGTTCTATTCAATTGCTAGTGCTGTCCATAACACTAAGGCTATATTCACACTTGAGTGTGCACGAGGATAATTCTCGCTGGTCAGTTATGTGAACAAACCATTTTTACAAGTACTCACACCAGAATTCAGGCGCAGTGCCCGTGTGTGGAGTGCAAGGTCTGGACCTTGTGCTCAGTCACAAAATGGTACTTAAGTACTCGGAGTACCCAGTGCCTGAACACAACGCTAATTTGTGCCGATGCCCATGCACCAGTGTTTGGGCACCAAATGTGAACACAGCCTAAAAATAAATTAATGTTCTGTACACCATGATTATCATAACTGTAGCAAATGCTGCTGTAGTAGGTAGATAGACTTGGTTTGTACATTTTCTATCCTTAGATTTGTTCAAACATTCGATAGCGGTTTTATTTAACAGGTGCAGTAAACTAGCACATTTCACCAAACAAACTGTTTTTCCCATTTTGGACAACAGTACCAGGAAGAACTCGAAATGATCTCTGTGACACCCACAGTTTTTATGATCAAGCAATGATCTTGTCAAAATACAACTTTCAATGTACATGTACTCTTTAGTGTGCATGTGAGGTAGTGAAAAATAGAAATCATTGCATGTGAGTGGACCCCTTGACCAGTGTTTTAAAACGAACTCTGTTCAGTGGCCTGTACCTGTACATAATTCAGTTTTTGAGTTCAGTGGCTCATACATGTAGTCACTTTGATGAATTACCTTCTTAATTGCAACATGTATCTTCTCAGTATTGTAAGAACACCTTTTCCGTTGTGAATGTACCTGTCCTCAACAGAGGCGGTGGCAGGAGGGGGGAGAGAGTTGAGATGTGATTTTTCTTGTATAAAGGAGAGGAATATTGTTCTAAGTAAATATTGAAAGATCTTTTACAAGGGAGGCTTGGTTACTGTACTCTGTACATTTCACTTTTCCGCAAGAAAACGTTCTTGTTTTGTGCTGAAGGGGCAGCCGTATGACATCTTTGAATCCAAAGTACTTGACAACAGAAATGCAAAACCCAAAGTTGCCAATTTTTTTTAAAATTTCCCTTGGTTATGTAATGGCCTCATATAATTTATTGTCTTTTTGCAGAGAAAAGAGATGGATACTAGCCGTAAAAAGTTCTTTCTTTGATGATGGCGGAATGACTGGTGGACAATGTCTTATTGTGTAACAGAGAACTTTTGTTGGGTTCCCTTACCGATACTGTGACCTTTGTTTTTATTAAAGAAACTCAGTTGCAGTTTTTTTAGTTATGTTTGACCAGTCACATACAAAATTACCTTAAAATAGTAGTTTACTAAGGTAGAAAACAGCAAAGAGATAATAATACACCATAAAGGAACACGGATGGTTAAGGATGGAGAAGATTAATACGGATTACAAATGACAAGCTTGAAAAATTTAGACTTGACTTTTCAAGATATGCAAACAGTGATGTAGCTCCTTTAGTGATCACAATGAGTGTTACACAAGATGAAATTGGGCAAATTACCCATATCGTTATGGTAACTGCAGAGAACAGTTCACTGACACCTGATCACTTACCACTTACAAACAGATGAATGATCTTCCTCGACCTCATTGCCATCATCTTCACTATCATCAATGCAGTAAAAACCGCGCGTATAAGAACCTGTTAGGCTACAATTTCCCAGTTAAGCACCCTTCACATAAAGACCATTTTAGGCTAAAATCTCAATACGGGTTCTTATCTTCAAACTACATGTATAGAGTTTTTTTCAGATATAATACAGTACATCACATGCCATACGAAAAAAGGTAACAAAAATGTTTGAATGATTCTAGCCTGCAGAACAGGCGTATTTTTTTTTGCGTATTTTAAGCGAACAGAGGCGAAAGCAAGGCGAGCGCGAAGTGCGAGTCGCGCGCGAGGGGAAGAGCACCTATGCAAAAAATTACGCCTGGGGTAATGCTGGTAAGGCCGGGAATTGATATGTCAATCATCTCCCGCCCACAGCATTACCCACGGGCATTACGCACGGGGATAATGGTGTGGGCACAGATCACTCAAGGGTAGTATAAGAGTTTGTATGGAGAACTGTGGCTAAAATATGAGTTTGTATGGAGATCAGGAGTTGACATTAAATTCGTTCAATGTATAGGTAATTAACCGAATAAAGACTCTTGAACATTGAACGAATTTAATATCAACTCCTGACCTTCATACAAACTCTTTCATTACGCTTGGGTGACCTGTGTTGTGGGCAGGAGATGAACTGTCAGTCATCTCGCACCTCGGCATTATGAATTTTGGAAGACGAGATGCAGGCTAACGTTTTCTACAGTCTAAATCCCGACCTTTAGAAAACTACTGTTTAGTAAAAACTTAGCCTGCGAACAGGCTCACGTTGGAGCACAAGCGCGCGGCGTAGCCGCGAGACGAGGAAAGTGATTTTCTTGGCGCCTCTTCACCAGACTCCTTCCCGCCGGATCGCTTTGCTCTTCGCCGCTCGCGTGTGTGACTCAAAGGTGAGCAAAACTGAGCCCAATACATACGGGCTGAACAAGCCAGGTAACTAAAGTGTTAATTGTGATGGCTGTCTTAAAGTGCCACTATGATGAAATTCTCGATATCCATTTCTTTACATTTTCGTACACATTAGGTCTTT